GAGAGAGAGAGAGAGAGAGAGAGAGAGAGAGAGAGAGAGAGAGAGAGAGAGAGAGAGAGAGAGAGATTTCCTGCTATTGCGGAATCTGCAACGGGAGCAACGCACAATCTCGTCAGGATTGGGGGGGGTAGTGGTGTTATGCATGCATGGACATTGGACTCCGAGGAGAAAAGGGTGGGATGCTTGGTGTGTGCAGAATTCCACAGGAGCCCAGTGAGGGTTTAGTCATGGTGCCGTGAGGGAGCGATTTCAGACTCTGAGTCGGTCGAGGACCGACGAGCACAACAGGGTTATGCACTTATCGGTTTTTTCTGTTGTTCTGTTCGCCATCTCATGAATGGGGAGGCTATATGGTTCCAAGATACAGCAATAGTTTATGTACACGGTACTGTTTTTTTTTTTTAAACATCTATGTACACGGTACTGTAACCCTGTACATGACCTTAATATATTCAGTCGACATAGTCTCCACTTTCTTCCCTTTTCCCCCGCCTAATGGTAAAAGTCCTAGTAGTAAGAAGTGCCGCTTTTCAACAACAACAAAAAAAAAAGAAAAAAAAAAAAAAAAGTGCGGCTTCGTTAGGTTGCTATCGAGATCAGCATGCGCTAACTACTACCCACTCTTTTGTACCGTGCAGTGTTCTAGAATACCCCTGCCCAATTCCGCAACAACATTCTAGCCCCTGTAAGAGAGTACTACCTTGGCAGAAATGTCCCTACTTTGGACGCCCCCTGCATAGAGCCAAAGTGCCAGTCTGAGAGTGAACCGCCGAAGCAGAAGGAGAAAGCGAAGGACATGGATGATGCATATGCTTTTTTTTTTTCTTTTTTCTTTTTTAAATGGATAATATGCTTCTGAACACGTAAACTTGATATAATCAGAATATACAACCACGTGTTCCATTCAGGGCCTCGCCACACGGCTCTCGAAATGTGAAGAAGACAAAAATGTGGCGCATGCATCTGGCCATGTTCTAGGGGGAAGTTCATTCTCGTTTTGCACATTTCTCGACTGGTGTGGCGATGGCGGCAGTCAGGACGCCCACTTTCGAAGATACTTTGACCAACTGGGCTACGGTGGTCGGGTCTGGCTGCACTGCTCTTCAAATGTGCAAAATGATGAGACTGAATCCACCTCTTTTTTTTTTTTTTTTTTTTTTTTTTTTKAAAAACCCCTATCAGTGTTAGTGATGCTGGTAGGAGCAGACACCACTAGCACCTGGGGGGCTCCATCTATTGGTGGGGAGCATCACCTGCTGGAAAGCGGGTCCAGCGTCCCATATACACAATGAATGAAATCATACCAAGAAAAGTCTGCGGACCACCTCTAGAACATGGAAAGATACTTTCTTTTTTTTTTCTTCTTTTTAAAAGGTTTAAAGACTGTCTCGGACACATCAGAAACAAACTTGAATTGTGAGGATCCCCGGCCTCGAACGATGTGTTTTCTTGCAATGAAATGAATGTTGGTAAAAAAAAAAACAAAAAAAAACACAAACAATAACAGTAATAAGTTATAGTCATGGAATGCTAAACATAGCCAAGGATTTCTAGGAAGAGCTATACCACATGAAGACCCCTACCGTGGAAAGATACTTTTCTGTATTTTGCCCATGTGGAGAGTAGTGCAGTGAGGACCATCCTCAGGAGGCAATCTTCCGCTCCCAGCCTTGCGGCTTCCCACCGAGTCTCCTCAGTGACACGCTGAGGGCAGAGGGTCTCCCCCTCCCTCCCTTTCGTTGCACTGGCAAGTGGCAGCACTGAATCACGCAACTCTCTCTCTCTCTCTCTCTCTCTCTCTCTCTCTCTCTCTCTCTCTCTCTCTCTCTCTCTCTCTCTCTCTCTCTCTCTCTCTCCCCCCTCCCCCTTTCTCCTGATGTTGGATTCGTGGACTCAGTGGGCTCCGCACCGCCCGGTGGCGATGTCCACAGTGCCCGGTTGCTGATGTCCACAGGGCCTGGTCCGCCATGCTCCGGGCCCGGGACATGCGTTTTGTGCCTTTTTTGCGGATTACAAACAAGTTGTCTTTGAATTTTCTAACTACAGAGGCGTGGAGGCTGCGATGTGATGTTTGTTTTTGCCTATTTCAAACTAAAAACCATTCCTTTTTCTCATAATCATGGAAGCACAAATTGCGGGGATACCTGAGGAAGCGATTCCCATTAGTTCTATGTTCGCAGATGACCTCACTGTAATACTGGAAGCTTCGCAAGGAAATATGGAAGAAATTAAAGCACTCATGGATGAGTTTGCTATGGTATCAGATATGGTAGTTAACTGGGTAAGTAAGACACAAGGTTGGTGTGATTCACTCAAATGGGATTAGACCCCCTGAAATACATACGATTAAATGGTTGCCACTTGAAGCGCCCATCAGAGTGTTAGGAGTATCCCTCACTGCTCAAGGTAAATCACCCATCAATGATGAATTGATCTCTCGCCCAGCACTGGATAAAATGAATCAATGCAAAAATAAACACACATCATGATCAATCTTTGGTCGATCATTAGTTATTAACGATGTTGTGCTAGCATCTATATGGTCTAAGTCAGCGCTCTGATCACTTGGAAAAACCACAACCAAAGCCTTAAAGAAGCTAATAACATCCTTTTTGTGAAGAGACGATGAGGCACCTACAGTAATTCCAAGGGTAGCTTGGCTTACCCTTATACAACGAAAATCAAGAGGGGGATTAGGTCTGTTAGACCCAGACCTTGAGAGTCGAGCCTTTTCACTTCAATGGGTTAAAAAGTTAATTTTTGAAACAGAGTTACCATGGCTCTCCTTGGCCCTAGAACAAATCCCAAGACTCGCCCTCTCCTCTGCGGAGAATATGCATCCATTTGCATGGTTGGAAGATAAATATTGGAGTATCCCACGCCCCAATTCACAAGAAGAAGGAATAAGAGGTGAATCCAAAAAGGATTTGATTTTAGACGATTTTTGGATCTCCTTGCTAAAATCATGGAGAAAATTGTCACTACCTGCCCCTTTTCGGTAATAAGTGGATAACAGATCAGCATGGATGTATCTTTAATAATTTTTCCTCACCTTGGACCACTTGGGTGAAAAGGGGCATAGTAAGGATAAAGGACCTATGGGACCCAATATCAAAAGGATGGAAATCGAGTCAAATCGACAAATCAATTGAGAACTGACCTACATCATGCACACCATCTCATTGAATCTCTGGAACAAATCACTTTTTCTACTCCCTTGGCTTGGTCATTGTCACTTAAAAAAGGGTCAGTTTTGTAAGAATCGGATTGGGTAGCTGGTTTTGACCACAATAATCAAAAGATTATAGGACAGGTAGTATGCTACGTGACCCCCTGGGCCGCGGATCCTGCAGCCTCGGCCCCGACCGAGTTTACGCGTGGCCTCGTCAGGGCCAGGCGGGGGCGCGCGC